TCCAGCATCACATTTCTCTACAAGAGTTTTAAAAAGGTTCAGACAGGAGTTTGAAATCAGCACGATTATGGTAACCCAATTACATCAAGAGCTCATTCACCTGCACACTTAGGATTGCAATAAACATTCCCGGGTTTACTCCAGACAAAACAAGATACTGCTGCTGATTTATTAGATTTCTTACCTGCCTTTCACCATAAGGTCCTAGGCTGAGTTACGACAATGTAAAAATACAATGTGAAAATCAGTTAGAAATAATTTAGAATCAGAAGAATAGGCTGAGCCCGAAAAATATGTAGGTTCCAAAGACCAGGGTAAAGAGGTGTATCTTCAACATATGATGAAAGCCGCACTCACAGCATGAAATTTATATACCACTTGATTGTAAAACCCCACCAAAGTGGTTTACAAAAAGAATAAAACAATGAAATTACTGGAAAAACAATTGAAACAACTGTATTAAAAATAAATAAAAAATAGAACCAACGAAAAACACAACAGCATTCTACGTATCTGGGTAGGCTTGTCTAACAAAAAAATGTTTTTCAGCAGGTACAGTGAAGGTACCTGTCTGGTATCAATAGACAAGTTATGCCAAAGTGTAGAGGCAGCCACACCAAAAGATGGGTTTGTTACAAGAGCAGAATGGGTATTATGTGACACCTGTAACAGTGTCAGTTCCACAGATTGAAGCGGTCAAGTGGGCACATGTGGCCTAAAGCGATCTGGCAGGTGAAGAAGTCTCAAGTTGTTAAGGACTTTGTACAGTAATAGGAACACTTTGAACCTGGCCCAGTAGCAAATCAGCAGCCCGTTCAGGTCTCTGAGCACAGGTATTCTCTGCTGACAAGCTCTCACTTGCCTCAGCAATTGTGCTGCAGCATTCTGCGCTAACTGCAGCTTCTGAATCAAGCGCAAGGCAAGCCCCACATGGAACGTGTTGCAGGGATCCAGCCGTGAAGTAACCAACACATTAAGTGCCGTGGCCAAGCTTTCCTGGTCCAGGAATGATTGCAGCTGTCGTTTTAACTTCATTTGGTGAAAAGTGCTTCGAGCTGCTGAGGCTACCTGAGTTTCTAGTGACAGAAGTGGATCCAGAAGCATCCCCAAGCTATGAGCCTGCAAGCCCATCCAGGGTGTAGGCCTTCAGCTTCTGGGAGGAAAGCCAGGATAAAAAATAAAATAGGCCAAGCAGAAAAAATGACAGTACAGTATCTTTTGTCTTGCATCTTAATTCTCAGATGAAACCTTTCTCACACCAGCAGGCCTTGGGAGGAAGGTTTGTTCATGCTTAGGCCACCTCATATCCCAGCTTGAACCAGCTGTTAGCAGGTAGGCTCTGAGCCCACAAGTGCCCCACAATGACTTATGGGGCTCCAGCCTTAATACATCTTATTCCAGGCAGAAAAAAACCTGCTTTGATGATAGATAATCTCACACATCTTTGGCTTTCTGGTCCTGTGAGCCATCATGGAGCATTTATGTATGTGCCTTGTTCTGGGAGCTGCTACGCACCACAGCACTGACTTGATGTATGGAGATGTGAATACGAAATGTATTATGTGTGCTCTTATATAATGCTGGTTAACATTAGTATTAACCGAGGGATGGGAAACCATAGTACTTCACGTTGCAAAAAAAGCATCTGTGGGTTAAATCAGGACTGGTCCCTACAATGCAGAAAACCATTCCTTTGTTTAGTTCACTGAAGCATTGGGTTTTGTTCCTTTGGGAGACAGCCTTCCACAGTCTAATAAACCTCTCACTCTGGAAATGTTTCCTGATGTTCTGACTGAGTTTCACCCCATTACTCCTAATTACCTCCTATTGGACCCTCCTGAACCAACTCTTCTCCATTTTACTAGTGTGTATCCTGCAGATATGAAGTGAAAGTCACGTGCCCTCTTCTGTGGCTAGGAGTTGCTTATAGTAAGAATTCCCCCCCCCCCCGAAAAAAAACACCCAGCTTTGTGTGGGGGAAGGCATGTTAGTAGTTGAACAAGAAGCGGACTCTTAATTGAACAGCATTGCCTCCACAGTCAATGGAGGCAGAGCACAGCCTCTGCTATGGCTAGTAGCCATTGCTGGCCTTCTCCTCCATAAATTTGTCTAATCCTCTTTTAAAGCCATCTAATGTGGTGGCCATCACTGCCCCCTGGGGCGGGTGGGGGCGGGGAGTCCCATAGTTTAACTATGTGCTGTGTGAAGAAGTACTTTCTTTTCTCTGTCCTAAATCTTCCGACATTCTGCTTCATTGGATTTGCATGAGTTCCAAAATTATGAGAGAGGGAGCAAAACTCCACTTCCTCTATAATCCACTTTCTCTATAATTTTATAAACTTCAGTCATGTCACCACTTACTTGCCATTTTGCTCAACTAAGGGTCCCAAATGCTGCAATCTTTCCTCATAGGGGAGTTCCCAGAGGTAGCCATCTTGTTTTGCTGCCTGAGGTGAAACGGTGAGGTGCCGCCCTGTTCTGCTGCACCACCCTTGCCAAAACCACCCTTACCTAGGTTGGCATCAGTGAAACAGCTGCGACAACAGTGGGTTTCGGTGAAATTTCACCAGAAGCCAGCACTGCTGCCAATTCTGATTTTTCGCCACCTCTTGGGCTTACGCTGCCTGAGGCAACTGCCTCAGCCTGCCTCATGGACAGGATGGCCTTAGTTGCTCCATCCCCTTGATCATCTTTGTTGCCTTTTTCTGATCCTTTTCCAACTCTACAATATCCATTTAAAAGATGAGGTGATCAGAACTATATACAGTATTCCAAATAAGGTCACACAATATATTTGTATAAAGGCATTATGATAATGCCCAGCACTCATAGCAGTTTAGCAGTTATATAGTGAACTAATTGCAGCCTTCAGGGGCAGCCCCATGTGTAACGCATTACAGTAGTCTAAAATTAGGTTACCAGAATTGGCGACCAGTGGCAGATTATGAGCTTTAAAATTCCTTCAGTGCCCTGTGCAACGCCTTCCATTGTTCATCATTGTTGCGGTGCCCTCTCAGCTCAGCACCCAGTACAGGCGAACCAGTCTCACTCCACCAAATCTGCCTCTGTTGGCAACACACATGCACAAATCTCCTTGCCAAAGTGAGTGGCCTGGCCAAGGCCCAACGGAGTTGTCACTTCGTGACTGAAAAACCTAACTTGGGGAATAGCTTGTATCAGTCCTTAGGTAATTGCCTAAAGTTGGTATCTAACTTTCCGGTGATAAACTAGGGCACAAACCACCCTTAACCGCATCATATTTGTAATACTGACACTGTATTGAGTCATTACATGAAATTCAAGCAATCTTTAGTTTGCCAAATTTTTTTGAGGGTAGAGAGAGCATCACAGAAAGTTGTAGACTGGACACTGTAGGCAGGCTAAGACATTCCTGTGTAGCTGCCTGCTTTGGCTAACATGCTCAAAAGCTGGGCAGAAACTGGTAGGTAAAGAGGAAGCCCTGTGCAAGTGCAGGGGTGTTGAGAGAAGAGGATAAGGCATACTAGTCACAATGTCTATGTTCTGCCTCTGCAATCTGAGGCAGTATGTTTCTGAATACCAGTTGCTAGAAAATGGATGCTCTTGTCCTCCGGTCTTGCTTGTGGGTTTCCCAGAGGCACCTGGTTGGCCCCCCATGAGAACAAGATGCTGGACTTAGATGGCCCATGGGCCTGATTCAGCAGTGCAATTCTTCGGTTCACAAAGATTTGTGATACACTGCAGGGCTGGCGGATGGTAGTGCTGAGGGGAGCATCACACTCCAGTGAGCAGAATCAAGTCCTTGGCTGCCTTAGCGAAGGGGCTGGGGAGGGAATATAAAAATATATAGTAACACCTGACCTGCCTCTCTGCCATTTTCCACATCATTGCAGGAGACATTTTCTCATTTCGTTCCTCTCCCAATTCTTTCACCTCAGGGGGAATGAGGCAGCAGATGCAGTGAACTCTTTCTCATACTCTTTCTAATACAGGCCCCCTCCCCTCCTGCTCTGTCCTTCCTTCCTTCTCCCACCTCCTACTCACTCTGTGCAACAGAATCTGGGACAATTGAGCTATTGGCTGAATCAACTGGATTACTCCATGGTTCTGGGGTACTTTCCTCAATCCTGTGTGAAACAAGCACCTAGAACCAGAGTTTTTCAGACTCCATATATCTGCACACATTTTGTATTATTCTAGTACAGGCGCCCCACCCCCACTTATGCTGAAGTTATGTTCTGGGCCCCAGTGTGCATAAGTGAAATCACAGTGGGGAGCACCACCTAAAAAGCCTCTAGATCCCTATTTTGCTCTAGTCACCAGGTCTCTCCTCTGCCCTCTCTCGAATCCAGACCAAAATATCTAGAGTTGAAGTTCTGGGGCCGGTAGGAGGCTGGAGGATGTGCAGGAAAGCTGCTCCTGCTGTGCTACTCTCCATGCCAGCTGTTAGGTGGAGAGGCTGAGCAGCCGAAATAAAGTCCTGCTGTGTCTCCAGTCTCTTTGGAGCTTCCTCTGCCCTCACTGATGTCTTCTTCACCCTCTGGGGAGGGGGGGTCGTCTCCTTGCAAACCACTAGGACTCTCCAACTTCCGAGTTCGAATCAAATTATTTATCCATTTCCCAGTGCTGGGCATATATGCAGCCGTGTGTGTCTATCTCACGTAAGTGTGTGTGTGGGGGGGGATGGACGGACATCTATATAGAATAACAAGCCCAACCACACAGGTGTTAAATACTTGCAGGCAGAATTTCCCAGCATACACTAGGTTAGAGAGAAAGGCCTGTGCTGGGTAACAGGAGAGGCAAATAGGATCTGCAACCCAATGTTGTAGTGTGGACGAGTCCTGTTCAGGGTTTCGGCCAGTTGTGAACTTTTCAAGGACACTCCATTCCAGTCCCCCCCCTTTCATTTCTGCTCCCCTCATCAGCAGCTCAGTCTTCAATGAGCAAACAATCCCCAAGATTCAGGTAGGTAGCCGTGTTGGTCTGATGCAGTAGAAATAGATATATAAAATAAAATTTATCCAGTAGCACCTTAGAGACCAACTAAGTTTGTTCTTGGTAGGAGCTTTCGTGTGCATGCTTTCTGAAGAAGTGTGCATGCACACGAAAGCTCATACCAAGAACAAACATAGTTGGTCTCTAAGGTGCTACTGGACAATCCCCAAGATTGTTTGTAACCCTTGCAGTTTCCCATTGCCCCGTTGATAGTCTCTCTCATGTGCGGGTGTTGCTGTTTTGGTGACATGAGGCTCAACACTGGTGAGCATATGCAACACAACTGCCCATGAGCTGCAGCCAAGAGGAGGGAGCCTTGTTGTAAACATATTGGTGGCTACCAATGACAGTCTTTCTCCTTGTCTTTTGAGTGACTGTTGATACTACAGGTACAAGGCTACCAATGACTAAGAACATGAAAGGGGGGGAAGGGGTGAACTCCTCAGCCTCTAGCACAAGTGGTATAATGTCAGAAGAGGGGCTAAAAGTCCAGCCAGCCTCATTTTACCTTCTCCCATGAGCAACCACTGCAGAGGGCTTTTGAGCCTCCATCACCAGCTTCTGTTCACAGAAACACCCTGAAATGCCACACTTACGTGGAGCAGACAGGAACTTTTGAGTCTCAAGGTTATCAGCCTGTGGACTATGATTGTGTAGTCAAGCTCCTCAGATAGCAGGAGTGGCAAACTCCCAACCCACAGGCTGGATTTGGTCTCCCAAGTTGCTTCACCTCTGGCGCTATTGGACAGCTCTCATAGAGCCATTGTTAGGAGGACTTACCGTCCAGGAGACAGGAAGTAGGTGCTCCTTCCTGTTTCCAGAGTGCCAGGACCTCCTAGTGATGGTGCAATGATAGAGGGAGAAGAAGTGACCTTGGAAGGTAAGCAGATGGGGCTTTCCTCTTCATTGCAGCACTGTGATGGGAAGGAAAAATGATCCCTAAAGTGCAGGGATCATGGTTTTGCTCCTAGCAGGGTTAGGAGAAGAGAAACCTCTTCCAGCACAGTGCTAATCAGCTTAAAAAGGTGCAAAAATGTTCACCACCTCTGTCATGCAGCCTAATCTGGTCCCACACTCCTCAGCAGCAATCACATGGGAATACCAGTTAAGTTGATAGTGTGGCTCACAGATGCCAGCGTCTCTAGACCCTTCTCCACATGGAGTGAGATAACAAATAGTTTATTGTTCAGAAAGGCCTAGAAGGACCTTAAGGGATACTTAGTATGCATGGAGCAAGAGCTGGGAGACTGATCATGGTTCCTTCCCGTCTCGCCTTCCCCAGCTGGATAGAACTGCTGTGCGGGTTTTAAATTCCCATAATCACTTTTTAAAGAATAATCTTTCCACGGTGGTTAGAAGCAGCTTGAGCCATGTAATTAACCTGCAAATTAACTCACAAAGCCTACTGCTCTAAATTATTCCAAAGATGTGCTGCTGTATAACGTACCATATCACACATTTCTTCTTTCAGTTTTAGCAGCAAAGTTATTTTCCCACAGAACACAGACAGGCGAAAAGAAAAGGGAAGTGAGAGAGCTCAGTGGAGAAAAGAAACCACTTCTCTCTCTCTCTCTGTCTGTCTCTGTTTGGTTTTGCACCAAAACCCAGATTCAGATCTTAGGTTGCACCCGGCTATTCGCTGCTGCTCTTTTTCTGTTCTATCTTGCATCAAAGAGTTGAAATATTTGCAAGGATTCAAAGTTTTCTAAAATTTTGAATTCAGTCTTTTAAAGTGCTGGATGTGGAGTTTGAAACTTGGGCGGCATATACACTAACCTATTCATAGCAGAAAAAGATGGTTTTTGTCAGTCAGGAATTGTTCATGTTCATCCTCAACACACTGCTTCCAATCAAGATTAGATCCTGATGCTTCTCTTTTGCTTCAGTTCGTTTTCTGCCAAATACTACGTTGTTTGTCTCATTGTCTGCTATTTAATGTAACTCATGACTATTTCCATAACTTACATTCATTTCAAGGTAAAGGAAACATCAAAACAATATTTTAAAACACCATTCCTTTTTCTTGTTTGAGGACTTAAAAGCAACAACAATGACAAATACTGTTCCAATTCTTTTGATTGATTTCCATCCCTGACCATGAAAGAATGTGCAATTCGTACTTTCTTTCCCACTTTTGTCAGGGTTCTCTGAGATCCCTAGATTGACTTCTGAATCACCCCTCAGGTTGATCCTCTAAGAAATGTGAGGTTGGGAGAGAGATCCATTTTCTTTGGAAGCCGGCATGCTTTCTCAGGACTTGTTATCTTCTACCTGCAACCGAGGAGATGAATCCATTGTGACACCGTCAGCTGAGAACAAGAGAAAGTACACCGGGAACATGAGTTACCCCACAGCAGATGTCAGGCCTGGCTGACTCCCCATTGCTGCCTTGTCCAAGAGTTTTATTTTTAACAGTGGAACCATCCAGAGGAAGTCACTTCCAATGTGTGTGGGGTTCAGAAGCCCAGGAAGCATGAATGACGCTATTCCAAGGTGCATGTAAATCTGTGCCCTGAACTCAGCAGATCCTGCTTCTGTTTAAGGCCAGGCTATACAATTGCATTTACCTTATGGCGACAACTACCAAATGCTAAGCCTCTGGCAGTGGAATCCTGCTGCTGCTGCGGTATATAGCTCTGCAGTGGAAAGTTAATTTTTATAAATGTTGTTTCAAAGAAGGACAGGGATTTGGGGAGTCATATTATGGGTTTTCTTTCCTGAACTATAGTATACATGCAGACATGTTGTGTGCCCAGCGGATGAGCATAATTTCCATGCCGTTTCTGTGTCACTTCTCAATGCAGAGCTCCTCTTGTAGACATCTCCCAACCAGCCAATCCAGTCTCAACTTCTCTTCCCTGGGGCATCGGTACTGCTGCCTGACATGAAAACACAACATTAGGGGCAATTTATGGAGACAAGATGAGCATGAACTCTCTTTAATCTGGAGGGGGAGGCCTGCCAAGTAATGCACCCCCCTTCCACTCTCCACCACCCTCAGTTTGCCCCTCTGCTCCTTTGCTGCTTATTTCTTCTCCCAGGGCAGGAAATGTCATGTTTATTACCGACCAACTTTCCTTTTGACCTCTGCAGCCCTCCCTCTGGTCTCTCAAGGTCATTCTTCTGTTTGCCTTTGTTCCCTCCAAATCTGGGTGTCATCTGCAAGATGGATCGCAGCTGAGGAATGGTAGACAAAGGCTGATCCTCATGGGGGCAGCAAGGGGGGGAGAATGTTATTTTTAGCCCGCATAACCCTAAATATATCTGAGTTGGGGTAACAAATGATGGCATTGCCAATGCCTGAAGGACAAACTGAAACTTCGGGTGTCGAATAGGGAACTTGTCAAAGTGAAACAAGGAAGGGCAGGAAGCCGTTCAAGCAACGCAGGCTGGTCCATAGCTCAACGGTGAGTCTTTATGGAATTCTATAATGCTGGTCAGAATTGAGAAGATGGGCCAGGACTGACAGAAAGGACAGCTGATGGCCTCTGAATCTCTCGTGATCACCCACCACAGTGTGGCATGAGAAGAAGGGAACTTCCATGCAGCAGATGACTGTGGACTTGGAGGGTTAGTGGTGTAATTCAGTTTTGTTTGCATTGTGATGTGGAGCTACCTAATTCTCACTGCTTGAGACAATATGCAAACTGAAACACCGCTCTCATTCTAAATTTCCGCTTCTCTGAATTTTGCGATGCAGTTCCAACAACCAATGTGCATATTTTAGGCAGAGGTGAGCATGGAAATGCATACATTAGTGAAAATAACATACAAAAATGAATTACATTAGGGGAACTTGCTTTACAAAAGAGTGTTTATTAGTCAAAACAGCATTAAAGTGTCTTTATTAGGAGAAATCTAAAATGCAGATAAATTTTCATTAGAATCTTATCTTTAAAAAAATCATAAATTGCTGTGGAAATGTGGAAAATTGAGAAACTGAGGGGACTGAAATGCACACATTTGTCCACCTCTAGTGCTCTTTAAGCAAAATGCTGCCTCTGTTTATTTCCTCATTTAATCCAGATTTACAATTTCTGCAGAACATCTGATAAAAATTAAGAAAAAAACCAGGAGGGGGAAAAAGGTAAATCACGATTCATTTGTTAGAGTGGACAGGATATGGAATATCATTCTGATGATGTCGTGTAGATGCTGCAAAAGCATGTTCAGGTCTTTTTAAGATGGACCAGACCTTTCGTGTCTGGGATTGATTGATCTAATGGAAGGATGGGATATTTGAATATCTTATAAAAGGAGAATGGGGTAATCCCTTTGACTTTCCAAGATGGAAGCGTGCAGCTAACTTAGCTTGGACTGGTGGTGAACATGACTAGGGACAGACAAGCATGGAGTCCTGGCAAACTGTTTCACCCACATTCCTCGTTGAGCTTAAAGTACTAGCAAACATAATACGGGACTCCTGGCAAAACCTGTAATCCACCTGCAATCTTTGGCTGGGTTCTGCTTTCTTTTCATGGCCAGTCCCCTTCCTTCTTTCACAGCCGTTGCAGGAGACTGAACGCTCTGCCATGAAGTTTGACACCTCCGCACCCTGGGCTGCCTACAGATTGAACGTTCAATGAGATTTAATTGCCACCGACACTACCCAACCAAGGGGGATGCTTGTTAAGCATATAAGGCTTCGGATCCTTGTAGCAGTAGTAGAATAAACGACAAAGCAAAATAGGAGCTAAAAAAGGTCAATACTTTTGGTCATGAGTAGTGCATAAAGATGATCTATATGCCAGTATGGGCCTTTGGGCATAGCTGATCCCTGGACCCCCTATGCACTCCTTGTGCAACTAAACCAGGCCCACATTGGTCCCTGCCTGACTTCATGCATTGGACTTTAATTTGCCAGGAGCAAACAGCTCTGATTGAGCTTTAAAAAGCAGGTTTTCATGGGGAAAGCTCTGGGGCAAATAAGCTCTGGGGTGGTCAGACACAGATCTTTAAAGCGTGGATCATTCCTGGAGGAAGGGTACATGTGGATAAGCCCTGAACTATACCAAGACCCCAAAGTCACAGTTCAGACCCTGTGAGCATATACAGTAGTACCTTGGTTCTTGAATTTAATCCATTCCAGGAGTCTGTTTGACTCCCAAAACTGTTCAAAACCAAGGAACGGCTTCCGATTGGCTGCAGGAGTTACCTGCACC